CCCCCCCCCCTCAACCATCGAGGTAATTCCACAAGAAAGTTCGGGCATTCAAAGCCTAAACATCGCCAGTTGAGGTATCCATCTTGGCAAGCCGTTTGCTCAAGTAGCTTTCATAATAAACCGAAGGCAATGTAAAAATACTGATATTCACAGTTCAATTGTGAAAAATAAGGTAAATAAAGTGAGTGGAAAATAAAAATAAAACGAACGGACAAATATGTGAATATCGAAATTCATACCTGACTGTTTATAACACTTCTGATGGCATTCATGAGACCAGGTAATTCAACCATCTCACCCATTCCTGTCAGATTGAAATCAATTTTCTGAATATTGGATAATCTGAGTGCTCTATTCTCATGTTTTCAAAGTCGACATACCGGCATTTCAAGAAATGATCCCGAGACACCACCAATCATTGGCGGATAAGGTAGTAAAGGTTTGAGCACAGCACGTAATTTTCCGGAAAACTGAAAAAAGGCATGAAATAGATAAATAGAAATAGAAGCAAAAGTTTAGTTCATTACAGTACCTGTAGGTTGGTCATACCGCCAGTAAATCCACAGCAGGATACGGTAAAGTCTGCATCACCAGCATATGCGACGTCCATATCCACTATTATGCGATCTCTGCCCACATTTGATGTATACACCTATACGGGTAAGATTTGGAAATAGAGTCTAGGGTAGGGTAAATGTACCTTGATGCCTCCAACTCGGCATGGGATGTCGCCCATATCCATTTTGGTGAACTTGAAGTTCTTGAACACTCCCGGCATTTGGGCCTGAAAAAGAAAAATAGAAACATTCAGAGGCATGTGAGGAGGGGGAAGGGAAAAATCAAATTCAAAATCATCAAAAATTTCAAAAAGGTTTACTAGGAGCAAAAAATCATAAAGATAGCGCATACAAAGGTTACGGTAGGTATACGGTAAGTTTATGGTAGGTATACGGTAAGGGGCCAAAACGGCTTGTTTTCCATACGTTACTATTTCACAAAACTGTGTAAATATCAGCAATTCGGGATCTTCATGAAACTTCGAGGAGCTACGCTCATTCCCTCCAACTCCAAAATACAAAACCGTGAAATTACGCATCCGGAAATTTTTCGGTATTAGGAATCTTTTCAAAATTTAGAAATTTGAACTCAACTCCTAAAAAATCTTGAAATAGCACCAAAACGTTTATGTAACTGAAAGAGATAGCGCTCACGATACAAAAACTTTACTCACCTTTACTTGAGGTATGATGAAGTCGGTTAGAAAGACTCTGGCATACTCTCCAATATATGGCCATAATTGGTGAATCACCTAAAAAGCAAAAAATTGAAAAAAAAATTATCCGGGCTATCCAAATCGGTTGACCTTATTTAACCACTCCACACGTTCAGTATCCGGGAACTGTACCCATGCGGGAAGATCTTGTAGCTGAGCCATGATCACATCTCGTTCCCGGGTAGCTGTTGCCCGTAGTCCTATCAGCCTAAAACCACACCGGTTACAGTAACTTCTTGTGCATCACAATCAATGACTTACCTTTTCTCTCTTTTCTTCCATAAATAGCTTTTGGT